TGATTGATTTATACACTTTCCCCAGAGGGAGACAGTCAGGACAGCATAGCAGAGTAAGGACAAATTCATGTTTAGAAAAGATATTTTTCTCACAGTGTTAAAAACCAGAACAGCCAGAAAAACAAGGCTGCATCTTGATTCTGGCCCTTTTCCCATCTGCTTCAGCGTATGTTTTAAGGCTTGTGCTCTATTACCTCAGCCATGAGCTATTTTTTTTTCCAAAGGAAGATGAAATAAATTGAGGAAAAAAATAGTCCGGCTTTCCAAAGTCGACTCTCACAAGGTTTTCAGTGCATACTGTGTAAATAGAAGATTTGCTTTACAGCTCCTGCAAAGAGAAAAGTCAATATGAGCCAGCTGCTTTGCTCCAAGAGCAAAAGAGTACCTGATATGATTCCCATTGTTGCCAAGGCTCTTGTAAGCGTGTGGAGGTCTTGAAACTGGTGGCAGTGGTTCCCAAACTTTGCTGCACATTGGAGCCACCTCGGGATCATTAAAAAGTACAAATGCTTGGTCCCTAGTCCCAGATATTCTGATTTAATTGGTCTGAGGAGCAATTTGGACATTGGGCCTTAAAAATTTTTGCTAAGTGATTTTAATGTGCATCAAAATTTGAAAACCACTGCCTTGTCAGCCAGTTTAGCAACAACAGCAGGCACTCAATTTCTCTAGTCTAAAAGGTGAATTTGACCCTGCCCCAGTCATTAAAGGCTCCATATTTATTTTGGTTCAAAACCAGGCTGTGACCCTGTATTAGTTCCCTCTCATGCTGCTAATAAATACATACCTGAGACTGGGTAATTTGTAAAGGAAAAAGGTTTAATTGACTCACAGTTCCTGAGGAGGCCTCAGGAAACTTATACTCATGGTGGAAGGGGAAACAAACACATCCTCCCTCACATGACGGTAGGAAGGAGAAGTGCTGAGCAAATGGGGAAAAGCCCCTTACATAACCATTTGATCTTGTGAGAACTCACTCACTATTACAAGAACAGCAGCATGGGGGTAACTGCCCCCATGATTCAATTACCTGCTACTAGGTCCCTCCCATGACACATGGGGATTATGGGAACGACAATTCAAGATGAGATTTGGGTGGGGACACAACCCAACCATATCAGACCCTTACTTAGCTATGTCGCCTTGGGCATGTCATTTAACCTCTCTGAGCCTTAGTTTCTTCATGAATAAACTGAGAAAATGATATTTAATTAATAGAATTCTATGAAGAATGACATAAGGATATAGTATACCTATCACACTTGTGTTTTAAATGTTCTGATATAGCCGTCATTTAAGTTTAGAATCCATTACATTTCAAGTCTTTCAAATAAATCATTCATTGTCACTAAAAAAAAAAAGGGTAGAGATAAATCTATGCCATTTATATGTTTTTTTAAGACGTAGTTTCCTAGTTTGGATTCCATGCTCACTGGGCAATCTTCTTTTTTTTTTTTTTTTTTTTGAGACGGAGTCTTGCTCTGTGCCCTAGGCTGGAGTGCAGTGGCGCAATCTCAGCTCACTGCAAGCTCCGACCCCCGGGTTCAAGTCATTCTCCTGCCTCAGCCTCCCGAGTAGCTGGGACTACAGGCGCCCGCCACCTCGCCCGGCTAATTTTCTTGTATTTTTAGTAGAGACGGGGTTTCACCATGTTAGCCAGGATGGTCTCGATCTCCTGGCCTCGTGATCCGCCCGCCTCGGCCTCCCAAAGTGCTGGGATTACAGGCTTGAGCCACCGCGCCCAGCCTCACTGGGCAATCTTCTAATTGCAATTTGGCTTCTGTATAGAAAGCTTTCATCCATTTACTCATTGACAAATATTTCTTGAGAGCTTCCTCTCTGTCAGTCCTTGTTCTAGGCAAGAGGGTACATCAGCAAACAACATATTTCTAAGGGAGGAAGACAGTAAACTTAATAAATTATATGCTACAGTAGAAAGTGATAAGTAGTCACCTTCCGATGGATAAAAATAAAGCATGAAAGAGGATGAGAATGATGGGGTGTTCTGTTATAAATTAGGGAAACTGTCCTAATCATATATTATGACCCCTAAGATACTAGTCTTACTAGAATTGCAGTCCAATTTTCTTTAAGCTATACTAAACACATTCTCTGTTGTGAGTTGATAATGTCAATATAGCGAATAAAATAGCTTTTCATACATTACATACTGTTTAAAATTCCATGCCATTTTTATAGGTAGTGGGTTCCTGAACAGAAAGCAGCCTAATGCAATAATGCTGAGACCTTTAATTTATTTTTCTTTTGAAGCAGAATCTGGCTGTGTTGCCCAGGCTGGAGTGCAGTGGTGCAATCTTGGCTCACTGCAACCTCCACCTTCTGAGCTTCAGCAGTCCTCCTCCCACCTCAGCCTCCTAATAGCTGGGACTACAGATGCACACCACCACGCCTGGCTAATTTTTTTTCTTTTTTTTTTGGTAGACATGGGGTTTTTCCACGTTGTCCAGGCTGGTCTCAAACTCTTGACTTCAAGCCATCCACCCACCCCGGCCTCCCAAAGTGCAGGGACCACAGGTGTGAGCCACAGAGCCTGGTCAAGGCCTGTATTTCAAACTGTCTTATGTTCAGTTCCCTCCAAGGCATGCACTAAGAGAAGGATTTGAGGTGAAGTAGCTTCATTGGGAAGTGACCCCAGGAAGCACCACTGCAGGGTAGGTACATGAGCACGAAGGGAAAGAAGCCAATATAAGGTGTGATAATGACCAAACTTCAGCATCAGCAACTAGAGCTCAATCCTATTGAAAACTTCAGGGAAACAGTAGAACATGCCTGAGGATCAAAAAAGGTGATGCATTGATCTACCCATTTCATCCGTCATCAGTAGAGGGCTGCTCTATTAGCTAGCTATGAAGAGGGAGGCACAAGAGTGGGCAGTGTCTGCCCCACTATAGTGAAAACTTCATTTGTTTTTACTCTCCTAATTTGGAATTTTTAATGCAATGTTTAAACAGAGCAAGCTGTGGTTTTCCTTATCCCAAATAAGCTCTAACATCATGATATTGATATCAGAGAAGATAGTAGAAAAAATGCTTAAAATTATTTAAAGAACAAGACTATTTTCAGACATACTCAAAAGTTTCAGAAGTCCTAACTACCTAATGTGCGAATGACAAATTATTCATTAAAGCGAGCCCTATGGGGATCAGTAATTTGATTGAAACTCTTTAAAATAATGAAGTTGCATTGTTTAGAAATGGTCTGCACTTAGATTTCTTTCCTTGCTCAAAATGCCTTATCTAACTGAATTAATTTGAAACAGAAAACACTGCATTTTAAAAATCATTATTTATGTATCTATTTATTAGTAGAGATAGGGTCTCACAATGTTGTGCAGGCTGGTCTTGAACTCCTGACCTCAAGCAATCCTCCCTCCTCAGCCTCCCAGACTGCTGAAATCAAGGCAGTTTCTACACCAACTACTGAAGCAACTAAGGACTAAAAATTGTGGATCTCTTCTGGTCCATTTACCCCTTTTTGCATAGGAGTCTCTGTGCTTCTTTGGGAACCAGATGACACAGATCTTCAGTGGTAAGGCAAGAGTAGGCTTCAAGATCAGGAAGAAAGATGCTCAGAAAGTCACTTAGGTAAACACAGTGGGGGCAATTGGAACACGGTCAACTCTTAGGGCAGTATTATTGTACATGGACAGTAGTTGGAGGTACCCAGGTTCAAGCCTGGCTCTGCTACTTTTTAGCCATGTGATTATGACTTTATGTCTCTGTGCTTCAGTTTCTTCATCTGTGAAATGGGGATGATAATAGGACTGCCTCAAAAAGTGAAGAATAAATGAGACAGTGCATTTTGGAGCATAAAGCAGTCCTCAGCACATGATAAGCACACAATACAGGTAGCTCAACCAAGAAGACTGTGCGGTAGAGTAGAGGTAACAGGCCTCAGATGCTGCTCAGAATGGTGTGGTCACCACACTGAGCTCGGCGTCTATTGCTTCTGCAGAGGCCCTGGACTTTGAAAGCCTCTTTTTGTAGGCCATCTGGTACTTTCTAGAGACCTGGTTTCTTGGTGCTGACTCCCTAAGCTTTAGGGCCTCTCAAGCTTTAGGGCCTCACCTGGTTAAGAGAATGGCTGATTTCTTTGATACAGAACAAAGCAACATTGCTGTCCATGTCTGAAGGTGAGGTCTTATCCTGCAGATAATGCAGGTAGCGGAAACTAAGCAGATCAGAGTCCAAATGCCAGCTGTTATTTCCTGTGTAGCCTTAGCCTACTCACTTCGCCTCTCCGAGCCCCAGATTCCTCACCTCTCAGTGGATGGTAATATCCACTTGCAGACATAAGTGCAGGTAAAGGGCATCACAGAGCAGGTGCATGAGTGATGCCTGGTGTTCTTGTGCCACACTTGAGGCCCTTTGAACAGTGTTTACATCCTGGAGAGTTTGATTAGAACCAGTTCTAAGGTTTGCCATCCAAACCTTGAAGTGAAGCACTGGTCACCTCTTTGTCTAAGTTTTTACCTGTCCCCTGCCAGAATTGGGCAGAAGACTTAGAGCTGCTTACATAAAGCCACACATTTGGACTTTTAACTGAAGTGATGGAATCTTTAAGTATCTGCCACTCTCATTCAAGTCCTTGGCCTGATGATGCTCCTCAGTTTGGAAGAACCATCCCTAACCAGAAATGAACTAATCTAGGGGCCCATCTATCTAGTAAACCGAATCAAAACTCTTCTCTGCCAGGACATCAAGGTGGATTTATTTGTGTGTGGGAATCATGCCCCTTGACACTTACCAACTTGATTCTTCCTCCTGGAACCTCATCCCCACCTGCTCTCCTTGACCTAAACCCCTCAACACACAAACACACATATGCACATGCAAATATGTACATTGCCTAGTTAGGGAAACAACCTTGCAAGTGCTGCATACGTCTAATATTTGTGGTTTTGAACATAAGTGTGGTCTCTAAAATGAGCTGTAGTGATATTTTCTGAGTGTTTGATTTTGTTCTCTTACCTCTTCCAGGAAAAACAGAAGCCTATTTGGAAGCCATCAGAAAAAATATTGAATGGTTGAAGAAACATGACAAAAAAGGAAATAAAGAAGGTAGGACCGGGTGTGGTTGTACATTGCAAACTTCACCCATTTGTCAGGGGGTCTTTCTATATAAAAATTCCCACAATCAAATTGACTGTGCCAAAGTCTCCCCACAGAGCCCAAAAAAGACTGAAGTCACCTCTCAGATGCAGAGGGGAACAGAACCTCCATTTCTCTTATTATTCAAATTAGCCTTTCAAGCAAAGACGTTTTCTTTTGTTTTACATTTTATTATGAAAAATGTCAAGCGAATGTAGAACTAATAGTATAATGGATCCTTGTGTCTCCAGCACCCTTCTTCAATAATTATCAAATGCTGCCAGTCTTGTTTTATTTAGCCCCCCTTTCTTGAAGTATTTTAAACAAAGGCATTTTCTGAGTACATATTTCATGCACCCTGCATTCACAAAAGCAGTCACTCACTTACGTAAAGCAAACACAGAACCAGGCCCTGTTCTAAGTGCCAGAGATGCCCCGCCCGAGGAGTGCACAGCGTCATTAGAGCTATGGTTGGTCCTGCTCCGTGATGTCATGGATAGGTGTGTTACTGCCAAGGAGGCGAGAAGACGGGGTGGATCTTCATACTAGCACAGAGACAGTTGAGAGAAGGGCCACAAGAAAGCCCTTCCTGGAAAGTTAAGAATGAATCTGCCAAGTGAGGAGAGATGGAGGCAGAGGGAACACTAGGTACCAAGACATAAAGGGACCAAGGAGAGGGGTTGTTCTAGGAACTGGCCATTCATGTCCCCAGGAACACTGGATGTTTGTGGAGAAGAGCAGCAGACAGGGTTGGGAAGTGGGCAGAGGCCATGTCAGGAAGAGGTTTGTGCACCCTTCAGAGGAGGTTGGTTTTAGCCAAGAGAGCCTAAATTGGGGCCTAATTTTGTTAAGAACTGAGAAATCCATCTGGCAGCAGTGTGACTACAGATTGAAAAAATAAGACCCCAGAAGGCAGGAGAGAGATAAGGAGGCAAGACAGAGATCTGGAGCAGAAATATGGGGCTGTAAACCAGGGGACAACAGAGGAAATAAAAAGGAAGGGAGGAACTCGAGAGCTATATGGAGAAGGAGGATTCTGATATGATTCCCAGGTATCTGGCCAGAGCAGTTGCAAAGTGATGCCTTCCAAAGAAACAAGTAATGCTTCTCAAACTTTAAGGTGCGTCCAAATCACCTGGGGAACTTCTTAAATATCCCACTGCCCAGGTTGCGCTGCAGCACCACTAAATCAGAAATTCTGGGAACAGAGGGAGAAAGAGGTATTTTCAGCACCCTCTTAACTTGGGTCTTCTAAGTTGAGTGTGATGGCAATAATTATCGATATTCATGCATACTTTATTTGGTTCAAAATGATTTGAATTTCCAGGCTGTCAGTTATACTAAAATTGACATGAACTGTATTTCATCAAATCTGTCATTGATTAAAAATGCACCATTGTTTTATGTGCGATTAAATTACAACATACCATCAATGACTGCAAAGACTTTAAAATTAAAATGTTCATCTTAGAATCATTGTAATACACTGTGTACCAAAATACATTCCAAAGCCATGGTAAATTGTATGGTACATCAGTTTGGAGTATTTGTTACTGTTTTCACTGATTAGCATACGAATCAGATTCCTGGTCATAATCAACAACATCTTGCAATTCAGCGTTCCCATTCCAGAAATGACCAACCTGGTGAAGCATGGAACTCTGGTGCTTGCATATGGAAGGCTCTGTTAGCAAACTTCAGAATAATAGCATTGGGTTCGATGCTCCCTTTTGTCTCCGGGAAATATGCAGTATGCTCTCTTCAAGACAGAAACTCTTTCTCCACTGCTCTCATATGTGCTCTGCTTGACTTGGGGTCATCTCTCAAAGCCTGTGGGGGATCTAGGTCCTAGGGCTATGCAGTGGCTGCAGCTGTATAAGCAAGTAGAATTACTATTAGTTCTGACCTTTCTTAACCATCGTTGCCACCCTTTGTTTGGTAAGGGACTGGGTGACCTGAATCCCCTTCTCAAACCCAGGAAAGGGAGGATCCATGTGATGTGATAGTGAGGATAATGAGAAAATCTTATGTAGCCTTGAAAAAATATGCTTTTAAAAAGTGAATCACAGCCCTTCTCTCCTTTGAGCCTTACAACCTTAAAACTTCCTTTAAGGTTAGCAGGATGGCTACTAGCTTATGTCTTCTAACACCCAGCTAGGGCAGAGTTGGCATTAGACCAAAGGGCCTTTCCTCTGCACTATGCCGGTTTTCCCACTGCACATAGTGATAGCCACGCCATAAACATACAATTTTTCCTTTTCAAAAGAAAGCAAAATATTTGCCTGTTTGTCCATTCAAATCACTGGACCTCTTCACACATGTCTTTGGGAGTCTGCCTTTTTTTTTTTTTTTTTGAGACGGAGTCTCCCTCTGTCGCCCAGGCTGGAGTGCAGTGGCGCCATCTCGGCTCACTGCGAGCTCCGCCTCCCGGGTTCATGCCATTCTCCTGTCTCAGCCTCCCGAGTAGCTGGGACTACAGGCGCCCACCACCACGCCCGGCTAATTTTTTGTATTTTTAGTAGAGACGGTGTTTCACCGTGTTAGCCAGGATGGTCTCGATCTCCTGACCTAGTGATCCGCCTGCCTCGGCCTCTGAAAATGGTGGGATTACAGGCGTGAGCCACCGCGCCCAGCTGGGAGTCTGCCTTTTATTCCATTAAAGATGTTGACACTGCAGCCTATTCTGCAGAGCCAGCATTAATGAACCAGTAATGAACAAGAAGTGCCCTTTGTGCCTTAGGGGTCAGGAATAAAGGAATCATCGCCTTAGGTGCAGTGCCCACAAAATGTATGTTCAGCTTCGTTCTCTACTTCATGCCTGAGAGAATAGGAAAAGTGAAAAACAAAAACAAAAGGGAGCATTTATTGAACATTTGCTTTGTACCTGTTAGATGTTTTATAGTCAGTACTGCAAGGCTATGGAATGGTCAATCAATGACCAGCATTCAGAACCTGACTCTACCACTACCTGAACAAGTGACCTACCCCCTCTTTTCTGTTTCTTCATCTCTGAAATGAAGATACTAATGCTTACCCATGAGTATCAAAAAAACAACCCTCAACATGCTTTTTCCTATTCTCTCACTCAACACAACAATCAACACAGAAGACTTCTGTGACCAAATGTGTGGAGTTTTCTCCCCACCACCAAGCAAGCAATCAATTCTGCAGCCGACACCAGCTGGGTGTCCGCCAATTCAATTCCAACACTATCTACCTAGAGACAGCCTCAGACATCACAGGGTGAGGGCGCAGTCCCAAAGGAGTGCCCCCTCCTTCCCACCAGTTGCATGTTCAGGCCTCTGGAACAGCTGGCTGACTGGCTGCAAGTTTCGGTTTCCACAGCCTCCTCTTAGGGTTCAGTTAATTTGCTAGAGTGGGTCTGGTGTGGTGGCTCACATCTTTAATCCCAGCACTTTGGGAGGCCAAGGTGGGAGGATCACTGGAGGCCAGGAGTTTGAGACCAGCCTGGTCAACATAGCGAGACCCCATCTCCACAGAAAATTTAAAAATTCGCCAGGTGGGCCAGGTGCAGTGGCTCACACCTGTATCTCAGCACTTTGGGAGGCTGAGGCAGATGGATCACGAGGCCAGGAGTTCGAGACCATCCTGGCCAATATGGTGAACCTCCATCTCTACTAAAAATACAAATATTAGCTGGGCATGGTGGCACGTGCATGTAGTCTCAACTGCTTGGGAGGCTGAGGCAGGAGAATGGAGTGAACCCGGGAGGCGGAGCTTGCAGTGAGCCGAGAGCACCACTGCACTCCAGCCTTGGCGACAGAGCGAGACTCCATCTCAAAAAAAAAAAAAAGAATTAGCTAGGTGTGGTGGTGCACGCTTGTAGTCCCAAGCTACTCAGGAGGCTGAGGCAGGAGGATCATTTGAGCCCAGAAGTCCAAGGCTGCAGTGAGCCATGATCATACCACTGCATCCACCCTGGGTAAAAGAGTGAGACCCTGTATAAAAAAAGAAAAAGATTGCTAGAATTCAGAGAAATGCATTTACTGGCTTACTAAAAGGATATTTTAAAGGATACAAATAAACAACCAGATGAAGAGATACATAGGGCAAGGTCTGGAAGAGTCCAGAGTGCAGGAGCTTCCATCCTTGTGGAGCTGGGGTGCACTAACCTTCTGGCATGTGAATGAGTTTTTGTTCACCTTCCCATCAGCCTCCACGTGTTCACCTATCTGGAAGCCCCTGAACCCTGTCCTCTTGGGCCTTTCATGGAGACTTCATTGGATGGGCATGATTGGCAACTATGTAGGAATGTGATTGGACAGAAAGGGCATGGTCTAAACCCAGTAAGGCCTGTCTCTTTAGATTCTTCTTGACCTCTCTGTGCAGCATTCCTTCCTCCAGGGTACAGGGCAGGACCCTCTATGGATCAAGGGTCTTATAACCCACAATCAGATTAGAGTCCTGCCTTGGCCGGGTGAAAGGAGGGCAGGTCAGAGAAAGAATCTGCTTCCTGAGGCCTTCTTCTCAGGCCCAGAGTGCCCCAACATTATGACAAAGGGCTGAAACAAGGGCTATGAGAGTTATAAGCCAGGAATCATGGACACAAACGTAGATAGATAGTTAGATGATGGATAGAAAAGAAAGAAAGAAAGAAAGAAAGAAAGAAAGAAAGAAAGAAAGAAAGAAAGAAAGAAAGAAAGAAAGAAAGAAAGAAAGAAAGAAGGAAGG